CCGTTCATCGACAGGCTACAGCGAGCCCGACAAGACCCCTGCCATGCCTCATTTTTAACTTGTTAGCAGGGTAGCTACTTGTGGTAACAAACAAATGAAGGGTTCTATTTGCAAAGTAGAATGATGCTTACTCTTTTGACGATTGAAGGCTTTGGGAGAGGGATGCCATTGGGGTGAGGAGCAGCTGCTGCTGCTGTTGACATTGATGGATGGAGGAAGGTGATCGAAGAAGGAAAAGATAAGGTGGTGATAATTGAAGTGGCAAACTCGTGATTATTTATAGTGTGGATTCCTGTATGATCAGTGGGCCCATTTAGAATGACACGTTTTTGATGATTGGACTCTTCTTCATCCACGTGTGCAATGACGGAGTTTGCGTACCGTTAAAAAGGGTGAATTGCATTAAACCTCGATCGGAGAACTTTCAGCATTTTGCAATAGACCTCCACAAACTTTCAAACTTACAATTACTTTTGGAATGACAGAAAAACCCCAATAGGTTTTCCTGTTTTGCAAATAATCCCTCTGTGTTCGAGCCAAACAGCACCATAAAAAGGGGTTTTGAAAATTATTGAGGAGGTTTTTTCGCAAAAGTTAATGGAGTTTAGTGCGATTTTGAAAGTTATTGGGGATTTACTACAAAACACTGAAAGTTAATGGGGGTTTAGTGTAGTTTACTCTTAAAAATGAGCAGTGATAAGTAGGCTATTTGTTTCTATCAATTTGGTGCGGATTTGGTGTGTAATAATCTGCCCTCAAAAAACTATTTGTTTATATGAATTTTGTGCGATTTTTGCAATTTTATATTGAAAAATAGAATCCACGAGTCAAAAAAAATCTTGTTGGGATTATGATGTTATGAATTGTGATTGTGGGATGGTGGGACAAGAGATGGTGGAACTCCCCATGCTCCCCTCATGCTCGCCCATGCTCCCTCATGCTCACCCATATGTTTTTGTCCCTTCTTCTTTGCTTATAAATAAGAGAGGTGAGGAAGAGAGAAGTTGAGGGGAAGAAAAGAAAAAGTGGTGTGGAGGAAAAGAGAGTGAGTGAGAAGTAAAAGAAAAGAGAGCACTTGTGAGTTGTACAAGTTTGGTATTCTCCTCATAGTGAAACCCTTCTCGCGTAGACGTAGGCAAGTTTGTCGAACCACGTAAATCTCGTATCTTAACTGTGAGTTGGCTATTGCTTGTAGTTTCTCTCGATATTCAGTCCTAGAACTGCTGAGAGGAAGAGTGTATATCCCACTTTGTTGAGATATTTCATTTCTGTTCTTGTTTCCTTTTGTGAAACGAGAATATAGAGGTTGACTTGAGCTTTTGTGAAAACAAAAGTCAGGGTTTTCTCTCGGGTGATATCGCTTCCGCGGCTTGAAGGCGTGACTCTATGCCCAATATGAATAAATGTGATTAGTGAAAATTATGGTTAATTATTTCCATTAGATTGATGATTTCAGTCACATGATTCTCAATAAAAGCCGTGTAACTGAAGAAATATTTGTCTAAATTTTGACCTTGGTACAAATAATCTTCAGTCCTTAACAAATTAACAAAATTTTGACTACAGGGTTTTTCATAAATCCATTAGACGCAATAAAGTATTAAGAGATGCAGTTCATAAACCAGACAGCCCTAAATCCTGAACTGTTGAATTTTCATCTTCCATGTCCCGGCTTATTAAGAACGATTAGCATTATAATTTTTTTAGCCTTTGAATGGCAAGCTCAATTGTTGTATCGCGAGCATCAGTTGGATGCTTAGTTATTATGTCTAAATTTATATTTTATGCTATACTTAGGATGTTTAGTTAGGATGTCCAATATTTTTTAATTTTAATTTTTTATGTGTTAGTTCGAATGCTTAATCAGGTGCTTGGTTTTACCCTTTTAATTTTTAATGGGAACAGCTAAGCTAAAAAAATTAATACTGTGAGCATGAGTAAAGAAGCTAAGCTAGGCACGTGCCATGTTGATCAGGGGTTCGAATCCTCGCTGCTGCATTCAACTGGTCTCCCTTGGTTTAAGGGTGGGGACGGAGACCCAGGGTTTTAATGTTTAGCTAATCAGCCTGGTAGATTAGGGACCCGTTTGAGTTTGTTCTGGTCCACACCCTGAGTGACCACCTACATGGAAATGGGCCCTCTGGTAGCAAGGAGATTGCTCCCTCAGCTGTGGGAGGATCGGGGAAATTCGAACCGTGGTCTCCGCCAGACCCCAAAGGAAAACGCTGAGTGTCTGAGCAGGTTTCCCTTGTCACCAAAAAAAAAAAAAGCTAAGCTAGGATGCCTAATTCTAATTTAATTTTAACATGTAAGCTAGGATGCTGATATTCTGATAGTGGTAGTGAGCGAGTTCTCCTCTTTAGCAATGACTTTTTTCTTTTTCTTTTTCCCCCTTTACTTTCTTTTACATGCGCATTTTAGAACAAAATCTTACAATGATTCACATAGACACTAGTTTTTATTCCCTGCACATGAACATTAATAGTGCTCGTCAATATTATTTGTAATTTATATGCATATTTTCCTCGTATCAACGGTAGGAGCCTCGTAGATTGAGTCATCTTTTTTTTATAGTCTGGTTTTCCATCTTATGCAATTTAAAAGTATGAAACTGAAAATTAGTTATAGGATTAATCATGGATAAAACAATTTTCTCCTTAGCATTTATTTATTATATTCCTCACCAATTCAGTACACTATTTAACTTTACAGACATTGCAATATCAACAATTAAGACATTGCAGAAGCACCGCTATTTTAGCCAACCATGGCTTCCTTGTTCACCTCAGTTGCTTGCATAAAAGTTTAGGGGGAAAATGTTTCAAGGTCCCAAAAAAATAAAAAGATGTGATCAGCCCGCCCCCCCCCCCCCCCCCCCTCTATTATTTTTTGGTGACAAAGCCCCAAAGACATGATTTTATATGTTTCAACCCCTAGTTACATTTCCAATGCATATTTTTTTACAAAACAAAATTACCCTTAAATCATTCCCCAAAAACTGTCTGCTCTCTCCTCTCCTCCTCTTCTCACGCTCAACCAATCCCCTCCTCGCTCCTCCCCGCCGCCACGTCATCAATCACCGTCGGCCAACGGCAACCTCTCCACCGCAACACTCGCGAACGTCGCGGCGATGGCGCCGGTGCCGGTGAGCGTCGCCAAGCAAGCGGAGCTCCTGAAGGCTGACGACAACACGTATTTCAAGAAGGAGCGATTGGGTGTTGCGATTGATGCCTACACCGAGGTTTAAATTGCTATGCCCCCACCCCCCACCCCACCCCCATTTGTTAGGGTTTAAAATTTCTATTGGGTTTTGGTTGGATTGCGCAATTGAGTGACCTGGGTTAGTTTTGTCCTGTCCTAGGGTCAAATGGGTTCCTTGTTATTGTTTTAATTGTTCCCCCTTTTGTTTAGGGTTAAAAGTATATGAATTTGTGTTGGGCATTTTGGCGAACGGTTGGTGGGTTTTGCTTGGATTGGACCGTTTAGGACTTGGGTCAACTTGATTCTTCTTTTGGTCAGATGGGTTTCTTTCCTCTTATTTATTTTGATTGGATGTTTCAAAATTCTTTTGTGTTGTTTGTGGGTTTGTATTTAATCTTACCCCCTCATTTCCATTTCAAATAGGGATTATGCTTATGTTCTTGATTAGGTCATGGAATCTGCACACAAGTCGCTTGGATTGGAAAATGTTATGCTTTTCTAATTTACTTGTTCTGCATCAGGTATGTTCACAACAACATATTCTCATAATATGTACCGCTTTAGTTATATTTTTGACAACCATTTTCATCTTTTGTAGGAGGGACGCAACCAATAAGTTGGAATATGCGAATGAATATTGTTGTTGATGTTGCTAGAGGAGTATCATTCCTACACAGTTGTAGAATGATGGAAACAGAAACATTAAGCAGAGACATTAAATAAGGATGGTGGAATGTTGTTCTAGACATTGATTGATTGAACCAAAACTTGTGTGCATGTATGTATTGTGTATATTAATTTTGTTGTGTAAACAGTTGATATGGATGACAAACAATGTAGCAAGCTTGGCATATTTTTTGTTCTTATTGTATTTTTGGTATTTTTATCACCATATGTTTACGTTTTGTTTTGATACAACATATATTTAACGGGTTCAAATGAAAAGCTACATGTTCACTTGAATGTTAATAGGAAAAGCTAATACTTAACATGTACATTTGACAAGTTAACATATCCAGTTGCAAGTTATCATGTTATAAAGAAAGCTGACATGTAGCATGTTAATAGGAAAAGCTAATACTTAACATGTACTTTCTTCATAACATGTTAACTTTAATCTAAAGATGTTAACTTTCATCCTAATATGTTAACTTTAACTATTACATGTTAACTTTCATCATTATATGTTAACTCTCCTCGTAACATGTTAACTTTCAGCTGAACATGTTAACTTTTATCATAATATGTTAACCTTCACTATTACATGTTAATTTTTACCATAATATGTTAATTTTATTCATAACTTGAATCTCAACTTTTTATTTCAACCTGTTAAATATATGTTGTATCAATAAGAACAATAAAGGTCCATATTGTTACATTGTTTGTCATCCACATCAACTGTTGTTAATATAGAGAGTTCTATTTTTTTTTAAATAGGAAGTTTTAACTGAAATGCAAGTAATTAATAAACTCTTTTTAAAAATTAGCTTTGTGTGATGTTAGTTTTGTGATTTCATATTCCAAAGCATAGACGAATCGTAAATATTAACGTTAACGGTTACATGTTCACTCTTCTTGTTGTGTGTTAAGTATCATAGCTATATGTTAACTTTGACCAAAACATGTTAACTATAATAGTTATATGTTGACTTTTAACTGAACGTGTTAACTTTCCTCCTAGCATGTTAACTTTTCATACTGAATGTTAACTTTCGCTGCTTTATGTTAACTTTCATCCAAACCTGTTAACTTTCACTGCTTTGTGTTAACTCGAGATATTTATGTTTCTGAATTTTTTTATATTGAGTCTAACTTCATTTGATAGTTGTTGCTTCTCAAATAGCCGAAGTAAGTGATTTATTTGCTTAATCATTATATTTACCTATGATGCATCTAAACTTAATAAGCAACTCTTATATGACCCTCCCAGTTAAAAATTTTAGTTTATTTTTGCATTCCTCCAAGTTTGAACATAATCTATTTGAAGGTTATTGTGTACATAATATATTTACAGATTATGTACATAATCTTCAAGTTACGATAACCTATTAAATCTCATAATATGTTAACTTTCATTGTTACATGTTAACTTTCATCATTATATGTTAACTCTCATCGTAACATGTTAACTTTCAGGTGAACATGTTAACTTTCATTACAATATGTTAAATTTTATTGTTACATGTTAACTTTCATATAATATGTTAACTTTCTTCATCTGGAGGTTTTTTTGAACTAAAATTCGATATGTTAACACATTATGAAAGTTAACATGTTACGAAGAAAGTTAACATATTATGGTGAAAGTTAACATGTAATAGTGAATGTTAACATATTATGATGAAAGTTAACATGTTCATCTAAAAGTCAACATATTACGAAGAAAGTTAACATGTAACTGTGAAAGTGTACTCAGACATAATACAAAGTGTACACCCACTTCGTTTGAACTACTGAGCTATATCCTTATCTAATTGGAATCGAATCAAACTTTTCATATAAGTCCAAGTGGGTGTTGACCCACTTCTCTGCTTTATTTTCATTGACTCAGCTCTACTGAGTCTTATTTGGTCCCTTTCACGTGGGTTGATCATAAGGATTTCAACACACGATTAGATATTCAATTCTCCTTGCGAGGTTTAACCCATCCAAATCTCAACACACTATACACGAAAACGTGCCAAGTTACAAAATGAAGGAGATCGACTGATCAAAAGAAAGAGTTCTTCATTAATTGTGAAAAGAGAAGGTTATAACATGGTTACATAACAAAAGAAAAGAAAGAAGAAAGGAGAAACATCAACTAAGGCCCATTTCAATGACTTGGTCCTACACAGTCCTTTTCAAGCTCCTTCTTCAATAATACAAGAGCATTCACCAAAGTATCATATGCAAGATTTAGCTCCTCTAATTCTTTCTTTGTCTCATCTAACTCCTGCATCAAGTTAAAAGTGACGTGTTAAAGATATTCCTTGTATGTTAGCGCCTTATCCATCTGAACTATGGTGTGAGCATGTAAAACATCCAAAAAAGGTGGATGCCATCTTGGAGTGCATGGGGGATGTGAGGATGGAGTGTCATGAGCACCTAAAAGATTGAGAAAAAGATAAGGAAAATATGGGGATGATGAACACTTTGTGTTTTCTTACAGATGAGCTTAATCAATTCATTGAATGATGAAAAGACTATAGTTCTCTTGATGAGCAAAATGTCAGAATACCAACATTCTGACCCCAAAAGTCCTCCATCGTCCCCTTCATTTCTTTGAGTCTTTCAGCTGAAAATATGAAGAAAAAAAAAGAATTAATCAGGACAAAAATCAAATAGGAATCATTAAATCTAGCTCAATGCATTGGAAAAATGATACATTGGGCCCATAACCACCAGGCCTGTGCCATCTTGGAGGATCAAAGTGAATCCCTCTCATTACAGCAATCTCCAATATATCGACATTCTCTAAGCTCATATCAGGCCCTCCAAAGACAGCGGCTAGCACGTCCATATAATTATTAAAATCCAGCGGTGGGTTAGTCTTTGGAGTTTTAGTTGATCCGCTAGCATCAGATTTCTCCGCACTTATCGGGTTCTTGATCATATCGGGGGGATTATCGCAGAAAGATTGAGTCTTTCCGCTTGTATCTTTCTCCTTCTCCTTCTCTTGGAGACTCTGAAGAAGATTAGCTCCTCCACTTGAGATCCGACCGAAACGAGATGGCACTTGTGATCATCGGGAGTTCTTCGTGCTCGAGGAGGCTGAGGAAGAGTAGATCGGCGTCGGCGTCGGCGTCCGTGGAGAAGATGAAGCCACAGAGGAGGGGGAGGAGATTGAGAGGAGGAGGAAAAACCCACATGAGGAGAAGAAGAAGAAGAAGAAGATGATGATGATAAGGGAAGGGGTATTTTGGGGTTTTTTTGGGATGATTTTTTGGGAGAGTGTGAAAAGGGGGCTGCACAAATTGCTTTTGATTTTTGGGGTTAAAAAATAAGGGAAAAAATATGGAGGGTTAGGGCACATCCCTTTTTTTTAGGGCCTAAATACATTTTTCCCAAAGTTTAGTCAACCCTTTATAAATGCCTAGATTTTCTCATATTTTCAGCATCTCAAGGCATTTACGAAGGCCTTGGATGATGTACTTCCTTTAAAAGCCAAAACTTCACCACCTGGCGATATTAGGATACTGACAACTGCATTGATATGACTTGGAAGGAATCGCAGTTAAGATTCTAATGATCATGGGATGGTTACAATTTAACTAAGGATTCTTTTAGGTATTAGTCCCCCAAAGGTTGGAAATTGCATGTTAGTTCATCAAATACTATAGTCTTCTAAATCATCCGTCAGTTAGTTTTTCAGTTAAAAAGCCAATCATGATTTGGTTAACTCTTAATCCAACACCCTCAATTACCAAGTTACCCCTCTTCATAATAAAATATATATATATTTTTAAAAACTTTCCTTTTGATGATTCAAATGATGGAGAGAATTATAACCATTGAAATGTTCAATTTTGGGTTATCGTTTGATATGATCATTGGAGAAGAAAGAGCTCAAGTGGGGTTAGATTGTTCCAACTTCTAAGGCGGATTTTGGTTTAAACTAGTTACGAAACGTGTTCAGGAGTTTAACTGAGGAGTAAAGCAATAATTTTGCCTTCAATAGTTAGATTTCACGGAATATTTTCCTCAAATCTAACAGGAGTCAATCAGAACGATTTTGCAAGACCCTATTGTTGGGGATTCGAAACAATCAATCGGACCCGTGCCCTTCCAGATCTTGTACTAAGAGTTTAGCAAGTAGGAAAATCACCGCAAATAAAAGAAAAATTACTGGAAAGATAAACAAGAAGGAACACACGAGATTTAACGAGGTTCAGCAACGTGCCTACGTCCTCGGGAGCCACACCACACAATTCTTTGATCAATTAAAGAAGACTACAATGCTCACAATTGGCCTCTCTCTCTCTCTAAGATTTCTAATCTCAAAGAGCCATCAAAACCTCTCTTTTTTCGTGTTCAACAAACCCTAGAATAACCCTAAAAACGTATTAGTATATATATATAAACCCAGTCCAAAACACGTGTTTTGACCATTCGTTGAGTCGTTCAAAAAGTTCTATTCATTCAAAACCGTTAAAATTGCGGCGAGCGGATGAAGGGTCAAAACACGACGGGTTCACCCCAAAATTGGTGTGTTTAGGTTTAAGAACGTGTAAATCAAGTTTAATGGAGAGGATCACAAAAAAAAATTATGGAATGATGTGATTTTAGGCAGCGTCCTTAGGTGGGAGCCTAGGGGGTCAAAATATAGAGTGTCGGTCGACCGAACAATGGGTGTCGGTCAACCGGCCAGAATGCAGTTTCCTATAGAGTTCTTGTGCACCTTTTCGGTTGACCGGACCATCTCCTTCGGTCGACCAGCCAGAATGACTTCATGGGCTGTTTTCCTGCAGTCGATTCGGTCGACCGGACCTCCTCCATCGGTTGACCCATAGGGGTTTTTTCTGCTTCTTCGTTGATTCAATTCCAGGTTTGGTCTACACTCTCAAGACTAACAATCTCCCACTTGGAAATCAAACCGCCATCAACGAGCTCTCCCATACTTCTGTCATCTTTGCAAGCATCTTCTCCTACCCGAAAAAATCCATTCTTCAATCATCATCATCTCGGCGATCCCGCTGATCCTCCTAGTATGGCTCCGCCTTCATCTCCTACGCGTGAAGGCCAACTGAAGTTGCACACAACTCTAGTTTGTCGATAGTCACTGCTTTCGTCAACATATCCGTAGGATTTTGACTCCCCAAAATCTTCTCCAATCGTAACTTGTCGTTCTCAATCTGCGATCGTATGAAGTGGTAATGTACGTCGATGTGCTTTGTTCTGACATGATATACTGGATTCTTAGCAAGGTGTATAGCACTCTGGCTATCACAATAAAGAACATCGTTCCCCTGCTTCAAACCCAACTCTTCCCGCCACCCGGTCAACCAAATCATCTCCTTGCTGGCTTCAGTTACTGCGACATATTCTGCCTCAGTCGTGGACAATGTTACTATCGTCTGCAGACGTGAGACCCAGCTCACTGCTGTGGACACTAAAGCATAAACATACCTGTGGTGCTTCGCCTCGTATCATGATCATCGGTGAAATCTGCATCCACGTATCCCCGCAGTACCAACTCATTCCTCCTGAAACACAATGACATATCCATAGTCCCTCTCAAATAACGTAATATCCACTTCACGGCCTCCCAATGCCGCTTCCCTGGATTGCTTGCAAACCTGCTCATAACTCCCACTGCATGGGCGATATCCGGCCTCGTGCAAACCATCGCGTACATAAGGTTACCAATGGCTGATGAATATGACACTCTGGTCATGTGCTCATTCTCTGCATCTGTCTTAGGTGATTGCTCCTTAGATAACTTGAACTGGTTTCTGTTTTCGGTGAAAGTTGCTGTTTTCATTGCTTTTGGAATCTGTTACAACTTCAAGCGTTACAACAAGAATCGATAAAAAGTCGGTCTTTTTATAAGACCTCCTCGTGCAACAAAACAAAGATTACAACTTTATCGAAAATAAACACGAGATCCCGTTTTGGTGCGGTCTCGCTTGCGTGGGTCTTTGGCCTATGACGGGGATGTTGATATCCGTGGACCACCGGGGCAATCAGATCTGGTCCGGATAAATCGGACAGAGCTTCGTCGATCCTCGTGAGATCTAGAAACTTCTGATCCAGAAAAATCGGACAGAGCTTCGTCGATCCGCGTGAGATCTAGAAGCTATAAGCGTCTATCTCGGCTAAATCGAGATATGAGCTCTTCTTAGTATTAACGCCAAGGGCTAATACTAAGGATAGGATAGGGAACGGGTGATGAAGGCTGATGTAGACCTCTCCTCCTCGGTTGAAGCGCACGGGCACTCTTCACTGCAGCAGGGCTTCGCCAAGGCTCTCCAAAAATCCAGCTCCTGAAAAATGAGGTAAGGGGTGGCTATTTATAGCCATAGGGAGTACCTAGGGTGCCTAGACACCCTAGGGTGTCTCAAAAAATCCGAGACACCCCTAGGGGTGTCTCGGAAAATCCGAGACACCCTAGGGTGTCTCGGAAATTCCGAGACACCCTTGGGGTGTCTCGGAAATTCCGAGACACCCCTAGGGGTGTCTCGGAAGTGAGGACACCCCTTGGGGTGTCTCGGAATTTCTGAGACACCCCTTGGGGTGTTTTGGAACTTCTGAGACTCCGTTTGAGGTGTATTTGACTGTTTTCCCCGTAAATTCTTCGTCCGAACTCGGATTTGAGTGATTCCGGGTGCGTTGGATGCTTGACGAAGAGTTCGATCCGCTCTGGTGGTTGGATTATCTGTAGAGTGGTCGAGGCACGAAGGGCGTTATCCTTTTTGTGAATACCGCCGGGTTCCCGATTGGTCCGGGTCTTGGTTGTTCTGAAATCCTATAAGCTCACGTAGCTCGCCGATTTACTTCAGCCGTTCGTCGACGTCAATTGGGCTCCTGTGGCTCGGATAGTGACGTTCATCGTCACTCTTTAACACTGAACGTTCGTCGACGTCAATTGGGCTCCTGTGGCTCGGATAGTGACGTTCATCGTCACTCTTTAACACTGAATAGTTCATGGAGACCTATAGGCAATTTTCGATGCCTACAAATACCCCCTCCAAAGTGTTCCGGACTCGTTTCTTTTATAGAAGAGGCTGGAATACTTTGACGTTCATCGTCACTCTTTAACACTGAACCGTTCGTGGAGACCTATAGGCAATTTTCGATGCCTACAGCTTCCAAGAGGCGTGCCAACGAGCTTAGCATTCTCCATGTTGAACATCTGAAGTACTTTCTCAATGTATTCAGCTTGACTCAACTTCAACGTCTCTTTAGTTTCATCTCTACTGATTCGCATCCCAAAAATTTGCTTTGCTGCACTCAGATCCTTCATAGCAAATTCCTTCGACAATTGCTTTTTTAATTTTTTTTATCTCTTCTAAACACGGTCCTGCAACTAACATGTCATCAACATACAATAATAACACGATATAGCTGGACTCGAATCTCTTTTTTGAAGTAGCAACAATGATCTGAATTGCATCTTCCATAGCCATTGCTCTGCATGAAGTTGTTGAACTTCTTATACCACTGTCTCAGAGCCTGTTTTAAACCATATAAGCTCTTCTTGAGCCTACACATCGTCTCTTCATTTCCTTCCTCAATGAAGCCAGCAGGTTACTTCATGTAGATTTCTTCATCCAAGTCATCATGAAGAAATGCAGTCTTCATATCTAACTACTCAAGGTAGAGATCTTCTGCAGCAACTAAGCTCAACACCACTTTAATGGTTGTAAGCTTCACAACGGGGAAAAATATCTCCGTATAATCCACTCATTCCCGCTGTTGGACCCCCTTCACGACTAATCTGGACTTGTACCTCTTACTTCCATCACTCTTCTGCTTGACCTGATAGACCCATTTGTTATGTAAGGCTTTCTTCTGTGCAGGTAGTTGTGATAACTCTCATGTCTCGTTCGAGTGTAGAGAATCCATCTCTTCTTGCATCGCATGCTCCCACTGCTGAGATTCACTCACTTGCATAGTCTCCTCATAGCACTCTGGTTTACCGCTATCTGTTAAAAGTAAATAATCTAGTGATAAGAGATATCTTAGATTCGGTTTGGGTACCCTGGATGATCTCATAAGCTCCACGCCCTGGGTAGTAGTCTCTGCACCTGGTGTCTCCTCCGTTCTTCGGTCAGAACTAACATTGTTGCCCCCATCTGAAAGTTCATCCAAATTCATATACTCGGATCCACCTGCATCCGTAGTGTTGCTCCCACTTATTTGGCTATCCTTGGCATTGTCTTTGTCATTGTACATTACCTCCTCATTGAATATCACATCTCTGCTCTTGATGATTTTCTTATTCTTCTCATCCCACAGACGATACCCAAACTCATCAATGTTGTATCTAATGAATGTACACTTTTGTGACTTAGCTTCTAGCTTGTCCCTGATATGGTCACTGATATGAACATATGTCACGCGGCCAAATACTCGCAAGTGTGAGAGATTAACATTCTTGTCACTCCAAACCTCTTCTGGAATCCTGAAATCCAATGGAACTGATGGTCCATGATTAATCAAGTAAGTTGTTGTATGCACCGCGTCCGCCCAAAATATCTTAGGTAGACCTGCATGTAAACGCATGCTCCTCGCACGCTCTGTCAATATCCTATTTATCCTCTCTGCAACTTCGTTCTGTTGCGGCGTCCCTGGAGTAATCCTCTCTAAAAAAATCTCATTTAGAGCACAAAACCTATTGAACTCCTCCAGCTTGTATTCTCCATCATTGTCCGATCTCAGACACTTCACCTTGAGATCTGTCTCATTCTCCACTATGGCTTTCCGCTTTCTTTTTTTCTTAAAGATTTCGAACACCTCTGACTTGTGCTTCATGAAGTATACTCACACCTTCCTCGAGTGATCGTCGATAAATGTGACATAGTATGTCGAACCGCCAAGAGAAGACACCCTAGCTGGGCCCCATACATCTGTATGAACAGCTCTAGCTTCTGAGTTTTAGGTGACCTTCCACCCTTCTAAAAGCTGACCCTCTTCTGCTTCCCGTAGATACAGTCTTCACAAACACCAACTTTCACTGAATCGATGCCGGTTAGCTTTCCTTGTGAATGTAAAATCTTCATACCCTTTTCACTCATGTGTCCCAACCTATTGTGTCACAGATCTGCACTCTCCTTGCCAGCTGCAATTGCGAGGGTGTCACTCGCATGTGAAGTGAGGTAGAGAGTTCATGTTTTGTTGCCACGGGCAACCACCATAGTACCGTTGGAGATTTTCCACGAATCCCCTATGAATATTGAAACATAGCCTTCTACTCCAAGCTGGCCAACCGAAACAAGATTCCTCTTCAGCTTTGGTATATGTCTGACATTTTTTAGATTCCACTTAGAGCCCTTCATCTGAATCCGCACGTCGCCTCTTCCAACAATACTACAAGGCTCGTTGTCCCCCAAGTACACTTTCCCAAAGTCCCCTGCTACATAATTCTAAAGAAGTTTTCTATTAGAAGTGGTGTGGAATGAGGCTCCTGAGTCAATAACCCAAGAATTAGAATCACTATCCATAGCAATGATCAAGACATCTTGCAGGATGTGAGCCTCCTGCTCGTTCGCATCCTTCTTTGGCGCTTTGCAGACTGAAGATATATATCCCTCCTGGTCGCAGTTCCAACACTTCTCTTTGATAGGCTTAACCTTCCAGTTCGACCTCTTCTTCTTTGACTTCGACCGATTCCTGTTTTGGTTACCCTTCTTCTGGTTTCGGCCTCTCTGCTCGAGATTTAGGACTGAACCTGAACCTTCTGATTCGGATGATTTCCTTCTAACCTCCTTGGATAGAATCATGCTAACAACCTTGCTCAGCTTCAACTTCTCCTTCCCCGTCGAGTTGCTAATTTCGGTCATGCAACCTGCCCAACTATCCGGTAATTGCGATATAATCAATAGGGCTTGCACTTCGTCATCAAACATGATGTCCACGGATATAAGTTGATCAACAATCGTGTTGAACTTGCTGAGGTGCATCGTGAAGGAGCATCCTTCTGCCATCTTGAGGTTGAAGAGCGTTATGACGAGATGCATCTTGTTTGCGGCTGATGGTTGCTCGTACATCTTCGTGAGCGCTTCCATAAGTCTCACCGCCGTCTTCTTCTTTAATATATTATGGGTGACCGATTTGGCGAGCGACAACCGGATTTTTCCTAAAGCCTTATTATCTAGTATTTCCCACTCCTCGTCTGATTCCTCCTCTTTCTTTCCCTTAGCATTGCCCATCAACGGACGGTAAAGATCCTTCTGGTACAAATAGTCCTCCATTTGTGACTTCCAGTAGGCGAAGTCTGACCTGTCAAACTTCTCGATCTTTGATTTTCTTTCCTCTGCCATAGCTCTCGCACAAATCTTCTGAACGAAGCTCTGATACCAGTTGTTCGGGATTCAAAACAATCAATCGAACTCGTGCCCTTCCAGATCTTGTACTAAGAGTTTAGCAAGTAGGAAAATCACCGCAAATAAAAAAATTACAAGAAAGATAACAAGAAGGAACACACCAGATTTAACGAGGTTCAGCAACGTGCCTACATCCTCGGGAGCCACACCACACAATTCTTTGATTAATTGTAGAAGATTATAATGCTCACAATTGGCCACTCTCTCTCTAAGATTTCTAATCTCAAAGAGCCGTCAAAACCCCTCTTTTTTCGTGTTCAACAAACCCTAGAATAACCCTAAAAACGTATTAGGATATATATATAAACCCAGTCCAAAACAGAATCCCAAATAAATCAGGAAACCAAAATAACTGATTCCGGTCGACCAGACAATGGGTGTCGGTCGACCGGCCAGAACGCAGTTTCCTACAGGGTTCTTGTGCACCTTTTCGGTTGACCGGACCATCTCCTTTGGTCGACCGGATGACCATTCTCGGTCGACCGACATCAAGCTTCAGTCAACCGACCAGAATGACTTCCTGGGTTGTTTTCCTGCAGTCGATTCGGTCGACCGATAGGGGCTTTTTCTGCCTCTTCGTTGATTTGATTCCAGTTTGGTCTACACTCTCAAGACTAATCTTAAGGATAACCCGAGATCAACTGATTATTCAAGATGAAGATCAGTCATCTGAATAATTCATTCTTAATCATGATTAAAAAAGCAGTTATCTGTGTAGGATCTGAGGAAGACTAATCTATCTTTTAGCTAATTATATAATGTTGATATAGAGTTTTTTTGGGGTTATCCATAATTTCAAGCTATAATTTTATTTATATTCCTCTAAGTGAACTTCTAATCATTGATATTTTCTATTTTCCTAGTTCTTATCTTCGTCTTAGACAAACCGATTAAGACTCCTCCTTTTGTCTAACTGTCTTTTTTTATCTGTCAGTATGTATTTGTGTTATTGACCGTCAATGTGAGTTGTAAAAAAAATTATATCTTTTATCAAAAAAAAATTTGATGTTTCGAAAACCCAATTGATAATTATTTAGTAAAGAACAGTTGACCTACTTTCTAATATGCTCGTTTGTTTTGTTTTATTGAACAATTTCGAAAGAAAGGTATCTTTACTCGTGACATGTTCTTCACAATGCCATTAACTGCTGTCATTTTTAAATAGATAAGATTTTTTTAGTACCATTCAATGTTATCATCTAATCCCGTTTGTAGTAAGAGCAAGTGCATCAAGCTCCCAGTTGGGAGTCCTAGTCAGCAAGCTCTCAAGAGCTCTCAAGCATTTTTAAATAAAAAATTATAAAAATAAACCTTGGGAGCACCTCCTTATTTTATGGAGCTCCAACAAGCTCCTAGTTAGGAGCTCCAACAATATCAAAAAAACTCATCTTCTATCAAAAAATCTCACTTCTATTGCAAAGATATAAAGGCCAAATACTTTTTCGTAAAAAAAAAATATTTCTTTAAGGCTTGGGTTTAAAAGTAGGGGGGTTTTTGTAAAAAAAAAAATTTAATGCTTGGGAGCTCCTAAGCGCTCCACAAATTTGTGGAGCGCTTGGGAGCTCCCAAGAGCTCCGGTGGGCCCCACTGGCCACATCAGCCCAGGGAGCCCCTTGGGAGCTTCCTGAGTGTTTGTTGGAGGGGGGTTTAAGAGCTCCCACCGTCATGTAGGCCTTGAGAGCGGCGGTGGGAGCTTGGTGCACTTGCTCTTAGAAAACAACCAAAAAAATTGTGGAGTGGCATACAAGTTATGTAATTACCATTATTTACATATTTTCTACGGGCTATGGCGACATCAATCTGATCTTTAGCTGTTATTTCTCTTTGCTCGTTCAGAAAACTAGCTTGGCCTCATGCTTATGTCAAGTATAGTTGTACTTCACAATTAATTCCTCACCCACTTGTTTGTTCGGTGAACCACAGATTTTTCTTATATATTATTTGCAAATTATTAGAAAATCTTAGATAACCCAATTGCATTTTGTTTCGGATATTTATAGGATTTGATAGAGTCAAGTCAATTATTTACGGTTATAATCATTCTAGAGATTAAGACATCATAGTATAATCTATTAGCAACTATTCCAACATTGTTATCATCTTCATTGCCAAAGTCTTACTACCCACAAGGGATGCAAGTGCTAGCAAACTTCTTTGTTGATTGCCAACTAAAACTATAAAAAGTAAAATTATGTGTGACAGTAATCATACTGCATTCTATTGGGTTGCTTAGCAAACTTTATTTTCTTCTGCAGAGAGAAAAAAGATAAGGCAATTTTCTCTCTCTCTCTCTCTCTCTCTCTCTCTCTCTCTCTCTCTCCCTCTCTCGGATGCTTTTAGTAACTTATGAATGCTAGATATAAGCCGAATTTTTATTTGGGTAGTTCTCAATTTTGATCATGGCTTAGCAAATTGCATCTTCTTGTGATTATGTTTTTATGTTTTTATTGCTTTTGAATCTAGAGACAAAACTGGTAGCTCATTGTGCTGGAGACAAGTTTAGTGTTAAATGAACACCAAAGCTTTATTCACAAATTGGTGAATCACAAAACATCAACGAATTGTTAAACTACTACTTCATAAACATCAGATTTTTATAAGCATCCCTTAGAATGTTTATTGATGCAGTACAATTAATAGCATTGAGGGCTATGCTGATGTGTTAAATGATTAGCTTCACTTTCATGCATTTAGCTTTATATAAGCAAAAGCGAAACCTCTGATGAAATTTCAGCTAACATCGGCTCATCTATGAATTTAGACATTTATTTTACATTTTCAGTATCAGTATCAAATTCAATATCTTTGTTTAAAGTCCCTCTAGCCAAAAACTGGACTCACACAACGATGTCAAATTTTAGAAAATCCATTTTAAATTCATGACCGTCGGGATTTAAATTGGGTTGCTCTGATATCATGTTAAAATCCTTTTAACCGTTACACCAAAATTTTGAGAATTATATTTTTATATTCTGACAATCTTAATATTCACTTCTGATCATGATTCATGGAACATGGCATTTAGAGGATAGACAATGGGTCAATTGCTTTGTTGTGTCCAAGTGGATCAATCTACAGTAGCAATCAAGGAACAATTTGGGAAATTTGATGAAGTTCTTCAGCCAGGATGCCATTGTCTTCCTTGGTTTATTGGTAAGCGAGTAATCGGGCATCTAACTCTTCGAGTGCAACAGCTAGATGTACGTTGTGAGACGAAAACAAAGGTAATTACTTAACCATTGTTGATCACTGCATACTATGATAAATCTATGATATTGTGTAACTTGAGATCTTATATGTCATGAATTTCTCTACTTCTTTGTTCCCAGGACAATGTTTTTGTTAATGTTGTCGCATCCATTCAATACCGAGCTCTGGCTGATAAGGCAAATGATGCATACTATAAGCTGAGCAACACAAGGGCTCAGATTCAAGCCTATGTGTTTGATGGTACAGATTTCATTTTCTACTTCAACTTAATCATAGGATTCCGATGATGCTATTTTTTGCAAGAACTGAGATTGCTTACCTGTAACTATAGTGATCAGAGCAAGCGTTCCAAAGCTGAACCTGGATGATACATTTGAACAGAAGAATGATATTGCTAAAGCTGTCGAAGGGGAGCTCGAGAAGGCTATGTCTGCTTATGGATATGAAATAGTGCAGACCCTCATTGTTGACATCGAGCCAGATGAGCGTGTCAAGAGGGCAATGAACGAAATCAACGCAGGTATAATGATTCAGAACGTGAATTAGGGAATTTGATCACCGTCTGTATTTAACACAATATTTTCCCCAGTATCTGGAAGAGTTACCACAGATTTGTTTTCCAAAATAATTCAAGGCCAGAATACTTTGTATTGATCAGTAGTTGCAGGTCAATAAATCATTTTGAAATTCATAAACACAGAGATAATAAGAGATAGGTTTTCCAGGAATTTACTTCATTTACATTTTAGAAAGGAGAATACTTCTTTTTTATGCACTAGCCTTTATGGATTTCTCCCAATAACTTATAGAGCCTACAAAGAAATGGTTTTCTGCGGTTTTTTGCTGCAATTCGCTACCAGTTGCAGTTAAAACCATCCGACATTGCTATTTTCAAAACATCAACATACACATTCAAATTCTCTGAACTACTTGTAACTTTTTCTCTTGCTTTCAGCTGCAAGGCTAAGGGTAGCTGCAAATGAGAAGGCAGAAGCCGAGAAGATCATGCAGATAAAACGAGCAGAAGGTGAGGCTGAATCCAAGTATCTGTCAGGTCTAGGAATCGCTCGTCAGCGCCGAGCGATCGTAGATGGACTAAGAGAGAGCGTGCTAGGATTCTCCGGCAATGTTCCCGGGACTACAGCTAAAGATGTGATGGACATGGTTTTGGTCACGCAATATTTCGATACTATGAAAGAGATTGGTGCAGCCTCGAAATCCTCTGCTCTGTTTATTCCCCATGGCCCTGGAGCTGTGAGGGATGTTGTAACGCAGATTCGTGATGGACTGCTTCAAGCATCCACTGCTCATTAGTGATTCTCCAAATCGTTTGAAGTTTGTTGTTATGTGCGCATTGAGGTCTGGTGGTGTTTTACCAGGAGTTGCGTGCATATTGAAGTAGGTGTATATATTGGTTTTATGTTGAATAATGTGCGCAAGTTGATGCGTGAATGCAAGCAGTACTTGTGATTGTTTCTTCAATTGTATGTCTATTTTTATTTCTTAGCTTTCTAAGAATGTTGAAACATACTTGTCGATGCGTGCGTTGCTTGCCACTAGAGCTCATCCGGGAAGAGAGAACAATGAAACAGTGAAACCCAAAGGTAGTAAGTTCAAAACAATCGATACTACAGGCAAGTTCAACAATCAATACTACGGGGATCTATGTGCAAGTAACCCAGATGAAATCATTATTCTGAGCAGCAGTAACACAGATTTAGTAACGACTGCATTCAATCATCGCCATTCACAACACAAAGAGGTCCACCATGGAGGGAAAAAACAACAGGCACCACAATTTAGTACAGCCAGAAATGATCACAAGGTTCTGTTCAGCAGTTTGAATCGAGTTTTCAAGAGATAATGAATATTCTGACAGGACATGTTTAAATCTCAGGTCTGATAGCCTAGAAATTATTAATCAAGGCCCACAGTATCAAAATAAGCATATATAAGCTAACAGAGCCATCGAATTCAATACTCAAAAAAAGATGCCCTAAAACTCAAAAACACCTCTCTGACAGGACATGTTTAAATCTCAGGTCTGATAGCCTAGAAATTATTAATCAAGGCCCACAGTATCAAAATAAGCATATATAAGCTAACAGAGCCATCGAATTCAATACTCAAAAAAAGATGCCCTAAAAGTCAAGAGCACTGAGTGCCAAAGGTGAGGGTGTTCTCATTGCTGGAGAAACTATGCGTTAGTTCTGCACCGACTGCAGTGCTGGTTAGTGTGCTGACGGAGTGGTAGTATGAAGCATTCAGGGCGTCTCCCTTGTTGTTCCTAGATTTGAAGTTAAGGAAAAATTGAGTTATTCATGAATCAAAAAAGAAAAGATGAAAATTAAGGAGAGAAGTAAAGAGTTGCAATCACGAATAACTCGTGCAATATGTTTAACCTATCCAGTGACTCCACTTTCTATTATTTTCCTGTTTAGAAGATGGAAAGTGTCCGAAAATTAAATGAAAAGGTAGTCACTGATAGTCACTTTCTCAAAATGTTAAAGAAAGTGGATAGAGTGAATTAGGATTCGGATCCTCTCCACTACAAAAACAAAGTGTAGAGACCAGTGCAATATCACAATTGTTAATTTGTTTAGTGGGAAGTTGTGATTTTATATCAATGTAAATTAGGAAATTGGTTGATGCTATTTTTTGCAAGAACTGAGATTGCTTACCTGTAACTATAGTGATCAGAGCAAGCGTTCCAAAGCTGAACCTGGATGATACATTTGAACAGAAGAATGATATTGCTAAAGCTGTCGAAGGGGAGCTCGAGAAGGCTATGTCTGCTTATGGATATGAAATAGTGCAGACCCTCATTGTTGACATCGAGCCAGATGAGCGTGTCAAGAGGGCAATGAACGAAATCAACGCAGGTATAATGATTCAGAACGTGAATTAGGGAATTTGATCACCGTCTGTATTTAACACAATATTTTCCCCAGTATCTGGAAGAGTTACCACAGATTTGTTTTCCAAAATAATTCAAGGCCAGAATACTTTGTATTGATCAGTAGTTGCAGGTCAATAAATCATTTTGAAATTCATAAACACAGAGATAATAAGAGATAGGTTTTCCAGGAATTTACTTCATTTACATTTTAGAAAGGAGAATACTTCTTTTTTATGCACTAGCCTTTATGGATTTCTCCCAATAACTTATAGAGCCTACAAAGAAATGGTTTTCTGCGGTTTTTTGCTGCAATTCGCTACCAGTTGCAGTTAAAACCATCCGACATTGCTATTTTCAAAACATCAACATACACATTCAAATTCTCTGAACTACTTGTAACTTTTTCTCTTGCTTTCAGCTGCAAGGCTAAGGGTAGCTGCAAATGAGAAGGCAGAAGCCGAGAAGATCATGCAGATAAAACGAGCAGAAGGTGAGGCTGAATCCAAGTATCTGTCAGGTCTAGGAATCGCTCGTCAGCGCCGAGCGATCGTAGATGGACTAAGAGAGAGCGTGCTAGGATTCTCCGGCAATGTTCCCGGGACTACAGCTAAAGATGTGATGGACATGGTTTTGGTCACGCAATATTTCGATACTATGAAAGAGATTGGTGCAGCCTCGAAATCCTCTGCTCTGTTTATTCCCCATGGCCCTGGAGCTGTGAGGGATGTTGTAACGCAGATTCGTGATGGACTGCTTCAAGCATCCACTGCTCATTAGTGATTCTCCAAATCGTTTGAAGTTTGTTGTTATGTGCGCATTGAGGTCTGGTGGTGTTTTACCAGGAGTTGCGTGCATATTGAAGTAGGTGTATATATTGGTTTTATGTTGAATAATGTGCGCAAGTTGATGCGTGAATGCAAGCAGTACTTGTGATTGTTTCTTCAATTGTATGTCTATTTTTATTTCTTAGCTTTCTAAGAATGTTGAAACATACTTGTCGATGCGTGCGTTGCTTGCCACTAGAGCTCATCCGGGAAGAGAGAACAATGAAACAGTGAAACCCAAAGGTAGTAAGTTCAAAACAATCGATACTACAGGCAAGTTCAACAATCAATACTACGGGGATCTATGTGCAAGTAACCCAGATGAAATCATTATTCTGAGCAGCAGTAACACAGATTTAGTAACGACTGCATTCAATCATCGCCATTCACAACACAAAGAGGTCCACCATGGAGGGAAAAAACAACAGGCACCACAATTTAGTACAGCCAGAAATGATCACAAGGTTCTGTTCAGCAGTTTGAATCGAGTTTTCAAGAGATAATGAATATTCTGACAGGACATGTTTAAATCTCAGGTCTGATAGCCTAGAAATTATTAATCAAGGCCCACAGTATCAAAATAAGCATATATAAGCTAACAGAGCCATCGAATTCAATACTCAAAAAAAGATGCCCTAAAACTCAAAAACACCTAATGTACCGCCCACAATGGCTCTGCCCCCCCCCCCCCCACCAAAATTATTTTACCCTTACGACGATCCGAAAATGGCTGTCCTTCCCCATAATAAAACTCCCCCAGGCTTAGAACAACAGATAAGCCCAACCTTAGAGCTCTTCTCAATTGCCTTGGTGTCGACCTCGCCAGAGATGGTGATGAATGACTTGGGTCTCCACTGGTGTTGGATGAGAGCGCTGGCTTTGCCAAAGTTGTTAAAGCGAGCCTTGACCAAAGTTAAAGGGTCAAGAGCATGCTGAGTGCCAAAGGTGAGGGTGTTCTCATTGCTGGAGAAACTATGCGTTAGTTCTGCACCGACTGCAGTGCTGGTTAGTGGGCTGACGGAGTGGTAGTATGAAGCATTCAGGGCGTCTCCCTTGTTGTTCCTAGATTTGAAGTTAAGGAAAAATTGAGTTATTCATGAATCAAAAAAGAAAAGATGAAAATTAAGGAGAGAAGTAAAGAGTTGCAATCACGAATAACTCGTGCAATATGTTTAACCTATCCAGTGACTCCACTTTCTATTATTTTCCTGTTTAGAAGATGGAAAGTGTCCGAAAATTAAATGAAAAGGTAGTCACTGATAGTCACTTTCTCAAAATGTTAAAGAAAGTGGATAGAGTGAATTAGGATTCGGATCCTCTCCACTACAAAAACAAAGTGTAGAGACCAGTGCAATATCACAATTGTTAATTTGTTTAGTGGGAAGTTGTGATTTTATATCAATGTAAATTAGGAAAATAGTGCA